ACCATTTTTTCATTAAGTGGGGCGAGTTGGCAGGAGAAAAATTAACGGGATTTAACCCTTTTCACAAATGGGGCGATTTTTTAAAAAGTGGGGCGAGTTGGTAAACCAATTTGGGGTGGTTTTTTTAAAAGTGGGGCGAGTTGTCCTGCTTCCCTCTATGAGTATTAATTTGATTCTTTTATGTTGTCACATTTTCGTAGTACTTTTCAAAAGTAAATATTAAAATTCACCCTTTACAAAGAACTGGCAAAATAGCATATTCACTATATTGCCTGCACCGGCAATATAACAATTTCTGTAGAAATATGCTATTTTACCGACTTTGAAAAACTGACCAAAACACAAAAACCGAACAATGACCAATGAACCATGAACATGAGGTCAAGGTCAGATGATAACGGCTAGCTTATATGTAGACCAACATGTACACCTTACATTCATTTTATACACTATATATAGTTGACCTATTGCTTATAGTACTTGAAAAACAGACCAAAACACAAAAACTTAACATTGAGCAATGAACCATGAAAAAAAGGTCAAGGTAAGGTGAAACCTGCCAGACTGACATGTACCCTTTACAATATAGTTGACCTACTGCTTAAAGTATCTGAAAAACAGACCTAATCACGTAACTTTAACCTTCATCACTGATCCATGAAATGAGGTCGAGGTCCATTGAACCCTGTCTGACTGATATGTAGGCGTTGCAAGGAACTGATATACTAAATATAGATATCCTACTACTGATAATAAGTGAGAAATTCACATGATAAAAAAACTTTTTCTTTTTAAGCAGTCCCTGTCACCATGAAAATGAAAAATAGACATATGACAGACCGAAACTTCGTAACAAAAGGTATCTGCATAAAATAATGAAGCATCCAGGTCTTTACTTTCCGAAATATAAAGCTTTATACAAATATACAAATAGTTCACATCGCCCTTACCGCCAGATACATGTAGTAATACCCATGTCTTGCAGGCGAGAAAAAAACCTATATTATTACCAGAAAATCAGTGCTTATATATAAATAAGATGTGGTATGAGTGCCAATGAGACAACTATCCATTTAAGTCACAATGTATAATAAACTGTTATCACAGAGATATGTGTCGACTTTTTGTAATTTTGATAATGCAAATGTTGAAATTATAAAATAGCAACACCGTTTAACATGTAAGTTATGTAAAAATTCAAAGTCGATGAACCATGACTGAAGGTACATGGCTAAACAATCTCCATGGAATGAGATGTGCCAATGCTAATACAACTGCATACCAAATACCATTGACTTATTATAAGTCGTTCCCTTTAAACAAACCTAAACACAAACATTAACTTGTAAACTATGTAAAAGTTTCAAAGTCAATGAACCATGATCAGGGGTGGCCAAATAATCTCCATGGTAATGAGATATGCCAATGCTTATACAACTGAACACCAATTAACATTGACCTACCACTAATGGTTCCCCATAAATTGACTTAATCACAAACTAATACATGTAAACTATGAAAAGTTTCAAAGTCAATAGACCTTGACTGAGGGGGCGTGGCCAAATAATCTCCATGGTAATGAGATATGCCAATGCTTATACAACTGCATACCAAATATCATTGACCTACCACTAGTGGTTCCCCATAAATTGACCTAATCACAAACTAATACATGTAAACTATGAAAAGTTTCAAAGTCAATAGACCTTGACTGAGGGGGCGGGGCCAAATAATCTCCATGGTAATGAGATGTGCCAATGCTAATACAACTGCATACCAAATATCATTGACCTACAACTAGTGGTTCACCATGAGCTAATCACAAACTGATATATTGTTGATGTGGCTGCCGACACCTGAAACAGCATACCTATGTCTTGCTTTTTGACTCCGTCAAGGCGAGACAAAAAGTAAACAATTATAGGTCAAAGTACGGCCTTCAACAAGGAGCCTTAGTTTAAATAGCTACAAAATTTGAAACTTTATAAAACAACAAAGAATCAACTATGATTAATTGACTTTGTTCTATAAATATATTTTTTTAAATAGAATATAAACATTCTTGTCGCTTTATTTGTCTTAATATTGTAAATTTTACTTCTTGTCGCTAAATAGTGAGACCGATGAAAAGCATATCTTGATCTTTTCCTTGATATTGACATAGATGGGCAACTTCAAACTAGAATCTATGACAAATCTTATTATTTCAACTTTCCATTTCGTAGCAGTTACATACTCTTTGTTCCATCCTATGGCGTTATATATTTTAGTTAATACATTACGCTCATGCATGTGCACATTATATACACTTCATTAACAGGAGTATGGTCCTTACACATAAACTGCTCCAATAGGGTTTTAAGAAAATACATCTGAAATCGAGACTATTTAGGGTTTAAGGTCACCATCACGAATTGGTTGACCGATATGATGTGTCCATGTCTCAACTCACTAGCTATATATTTTCGCAGTCTTACATGTGTGTAGGTCTTTAGATATTGGATAAAGTCGTCTTAATTGTAAAATTTTTAACTGAATGTGAATTTGAATGGCGGAGAATACATACAAAACAGGATACAATTACCCTGTTGCTCCTTTTGGAGTTCATGCAATTTCCTCAGTATTTGTTGGTTACCCTTATTTTCTTTCTGATCAAGTTACGAGATTTGCACCTTGGTAACTCATGTCATCTTTATCTAATTCAAGCCCCACCGATGTCTTGTGTGGACGGGATGCATGTCTGACATTCAAAATTATAAGCCACATAAATCAGATTTTTAATATACATCTGAGACCACTACTACTTCAAAGATTTGTCTTTTTGTGCTCTTACAAACTCTCATATATAAAAAGGCTAACCATCAAAGAGCAAATGACTTCTTCCACTCTATCATATGCTTTGTGTGTTATGTTTGTCCACTGTTTGTGTTTTTATTGTTTGTTATCATTATGCTGATTGTTTTTATAAGACATATGGTTTTCGCTTGTCTCCCTTGTATTTTAAATTACATCTTTTTGTAAAAAAAAAACAAGTTACCACTTGAAGCATGTGCTACATATCAATACAATGTTAAGAACAAGTAAATTTAACTTGTAAAGAAACTCTTCTTATTTTTTAACTATGAATATAAGAATTAAATGCATGTTTTGTCATTATTCATTATCTAAATTGGTAAGGTGAAAGACAGCAAGTAATTTGTTACAGTTTTAGCAAGAAACACTTTTTTGTTAATGGAAAAAGTAGCACACCACTTACATGCATATCGCATAAAACTTTCGCAATATTCATTTTGTAACTGAAAAATCTAAATAGATTCTCTTAACAAAAGATAAGAACACATTACTTTCCTGCCAAAAAATTCAGTTCGTTTTTTTATTATTTCAATAAAGCAGACACATCTTTCTTGTTTGTCATTTGTGCAATGCATTGCTTTTATGATACTTGATTTTGTGCTTTATGCAAATCTGACGAGTAAAGACCTTTCCAACTGATTTTTACAGTTTGTTCTTATGTTGTGCTGTTCCAAAATGTACATCACTATCCTTGGTAAGGGAAGGGCTGAGCTCTCACAAAGATGGTTAACCCTGCCACATATAAAATACAGTGGTTGTCGTAGGTTGTTGTGTCATATTAGTTTTTTCATATATTGTTTTTTATCATAAAATTAGGCCATTGGTTTTTAATTTTAAACTGTTTCACATTTTGTCATGTGGAAGCCTTTTATAGGTTACTTTAGATTTGTTGATATGGTCAATGTTTAAGGATGTTTAAATCCATGTTTTTTGAACTTTGGTGGATAGTTGTCTCATTGGTAATCATACCACATCTCCTAACTGTAAATTCAGAAATTATTGCGAGTATAGCAATAATTAGAACTGGCGTTCTGAATTTGTTACATATATCTGCATGCAGATTTTCCTGGAATTGCAATAATTAATCTCGCATTTTTGTCCATTTTCAAAAATGGCAATAATAAAAACACACAATAATTTCTAAATTTACAGTATCTTATATTGTTTAAAAAAAGAGAAAGTTATGTTTATGATGATAAGTACTAATGATCAAACATGAATATGTTAATATAATTCTCCATATTTACAATTATATATGTACATGATTTTGACGAATTAAATATGTTGTATGGTAAAATTTACATCGATATTTTACATTAAAAATTGTTTATTTATACAATTCAGCTTAAAATTATAACATCTAAATCCTTTTACAGTGTCTGCAGAGATCACAGCTTTTATCCATCTAACAACATCCTCACCAGCTTTCCAAGATATCTGTACCTACAAATTACCTGGAATTATAGACATTCTCTCCATCTTTTTCACATATTTTCTTCATAAGTGTACTTATAAGACACATATCACATTTCTGTATGTTTGAACAATCTTTCATTCTGTTACATTTCTACCATTAAGGTGGTACCAAACACCTTGACTAAAGTCAATTTGGCTCGTTTATTATATTAATTTTCATAAAATTTTGACAAAATATTTACTTTGACCCTTTGACAAAAATATACAAATTTCAAAAAACTTGAACCACACACTTTATCGGAAAAATTTCATCGGATATATAGCAGTTTGACAAACATTAATTTTGATCATTGAGAAGCTTAATATTTCCTTAACAATAGAACAATATTAAAACGTTTGGCTGATTTTTACAGAGTTATCTCCCTGTAGTGTTATGTACCACCATAAAATAACAAATTAGGTTAAATACGAATTTAAATGTTCAAACAAAGCACAAATCTTCTATAGTTTTGTATGTAAACTTTGGTAAAACCATGAAATCAAACATTCACGAAAAATTGGTACCGACGAAAACACTGAATCCACAGTACATTTCTCCCAATCAAAATAATAAACAATCGTCCTACTTTTGGCATATACAAAAACACATTAAACTTCGTCGCTATTTGTACACCGGCATTTCCATGACAACTTCACAAAAGAAAATTTTGACTCCACAGTGCAAAGTAATCTTTGTTTGAAATCAATAACTCAGTGTCACAGAATCCAAAATAGCAATCCCTTATCGATATTTTTCAATCATAACTGAATATCAGTAATTTTGCGGTAAAACATTCATATCACAAGAAAAAAATGTCTGACACAATAGAGAAAAGTGACCTTGATTTGATTCAGAATCCCAAATAGCGACAAAGTTAACACTCTTCACGAAAATCTGATGAATATTTCATCCTGCATAATTTCTATAGCCTGGTGTACAGAGACTATTAGTAAAGCTATTTGATGTCTTTGAGTGGATCACACTATCTGTTTGATCTAAATAAGATGAGCGTTGGAAAATCTCAAATATCGACAAAATTCATACTTTTCATGAATATCGGATGAATATTTCATCCTGTATAATTTCTATAGCCTGATGTACAGAGACTATTAATAAAGCTATTTGATGTCTGAGAGGATCACAGTCTTTGTTTGTCCCACACTGATCTATTGTGACAGCAATCCCTGGAAAGATCTGATCGTCCCATAGGTTCTCAGCATGTGGAGCTAACAATAAATGCCTGTAAAAGAGAAATTGGGTATTTAATATGATCACAAAGTTTTTGCTGAAAACATTCTTAGATAACCCTTACAGAGCATCTATCATTGTAGTTTGTTATTTTAATTTTGGGGGGGGGGGGGGGGGGGGGGGGGAATGGGAAGGAATATCCAGGGATATCCTGTTGCTTTTTGTTTCATTTCCAGTTTTGTAGACTTATATTTCTCTTTTGTATTTTTATCTTTGGCCTATTCATTTTTCGTTTTTTGTTGGGTTTTTTTCTAATAACTCCTATGGTATTTTCCTTCTGTTTTATTCGCTATTCAATAAACTTTTAAGGTTTGAACAAACACTTTAAAACTCTATACTATGAATTTTGAACAAGATGAAAAGATCTCCAATTTATCATAAATATTTTCACAAGAATTCAAATAATGATTTTTTTAATGAACAAAAATAAATTTAATTCCAAATCAAATGTCGTACTTGTGGTTCTTTTAATGGTTTCTGTGAGAATTCGTAAAGGTCATGCATCTACGAGATCAATACTGTTTTAATCTGGTATAGGGTCAATATATTCACTGTGTGATGACATTTAAAATTAATGTAATCTTCCTTCAAACACTTTAGTTCACTCAAAATTTCAACAAAGATTTCATCTTCATGACATGTTTATTTGAAAATACTTCCGTTTTAACCATACTTTTAAACAAAGTACAATTCCATTTAAAAAGAGTTTTATTTAAGGATCTAATTTGTTGGCAATGGACTATGTTCCTTTCAGTTATGATCCTAGTTCCAATATCCATCTCCACTTTGAAGAAAGCAATCATTGCTAATAAGAAGACATAGGTAGATGATTTTCCATACCTTGTTAGTTTATAAATATCCTGGCAAGTTCAATTACTTACCTATACTGTGGGTATCCAGGAATACCTTTGTAGTTTATAAATATCCTGTTTAGTTCTATTACTTACCTATACTGTGGGTATCCAGGAATACCTTGGTAGTTTATAAATATCCTGGGAAGTTCCAGCAATTTATCATTAATTAAATACAAATCTGATTCTCTGCAAATACAAATAGTGATACATCAATGATTATATTGTGTTCTTTGATTCATAAGATTAAATTTTTTTGTACATAAATTATCATTACAATTCCTGGTCATTTAAACTTGTAGAGCTTCATATAAATATTGCCATCAATATATTCAAATTCTAATTAATGTGATACTTATATATGTCACCACATTTTTTTCCACTAATAAAAACTTACATGATAATGATGATGATGATAGATTTGTTTTAAACATCCAGTGGCAAATATCACATGCTTATCAGGACAAGAACATGTTAATGTGATATGAAAATGAAACCTGCTTTGTACTAGACTGGCAGGTTGATTCAGACTGTATATTGTGCTAGTTCACAAGGTAACAGTATGCCCTACCAGGACACATTATTTTGAGTTCTGTCCCTTGCTCTTACACCTTAATAATGCATGCTTCCAAAGAAAAGGCAAAACCAATTTTTAGGACATTTTGAATGATATTATAGCAGGAAAAAATGGTAAAATACTAAATGTGTATCATGAAAGAGAAATTCTGGTAGAAATAATGTCAGTTTTACAGAAAATTTAGAAATTCTTAAACTTTTTCAGCTTCTTATATGGTCAGTTATACATTTACATCAATATCTGACTTATTTTCCATCATATATATGTATAACAAAAATTTATTTATTCTTTATATACTGTATACAAGTATAATACTTATTGGTAAATACAAGTAAACTGTAATATATAATATTCTCTTTTCAAATAATATTAAGACATGGTTTCACATGCTCCAGTTGCATGCAAAATCCCATTACCCATTTATGATCCTCAGTATAATAATAGTTTTCAATTAACATTATTTGAGAAGAATTATTTCCCCTTGACCACCATATTGCAGGCCAAACTGGTTGATTTTCTAATTTGACTAACCAAATTTGGCACAAAAAGTCTGATGAAAGATTCATACTATATCATAGTGATGGATTCTATAAACCCTGAATAAATGAAACTTAATAAAAAAAACTGTTCTGAAGTCTTGCTGTCAGTATAACAGGTTGAATTTGGTTGACTTATGAAGGAATTTGTGTTATGTTGACTTCCAACATGGCATCCAAAGGAAATAACTACAACTAATATCATTTCAATGGAAAACTATGTATGCCACAAATTATACTTACTTCAAAGAATCAAGGTTAATACTTGTTACATTAAATGCAAATAACTTTGTAGCTTCTATAAATATATCAATCTTTGAATATAATACATCTGGAAAATAAGAAAAAATTCATTAAAATGTCACATCTGTAGATTTGGAATACCTGAAGTTTTTCTAAATATTTCACATAAAAGAACAAGCAGTGTGCTTTTACATGTAGTTGTAATTACATATGTATTGGAAAAAAAAATTCCTTATCGTGACTTTGCTTGGGATTTTGATACTGTAAATTCAGAAATTATTGCGATGTTTTTATTATTGCGAAAAATGCGACAGGGTTATAATCGCAATAATTTGAATTCGCATTTTGAAATTTTTTATATGAATTAAAACAGAATTTTTCTCAATATCGCAAAATTTAAAATCGAATTTTAGTCTTAAATGACAAAATTGCAATAAAAAATGCACGCAATAATATCTGAATTTACAGTACTCAATTTTGAGAAATTGAGTTTCCTGTGAAGTGTTTTCTTATCTGTTGGTTTGTCCTTTTCTTTTGTTCTTGTCTATCATGTATGTGCTCCTTTAATTTCTGAGTTTTTATTACCCCATTGGCAACCTTTTTTTAATTTTTTTTTTATAAAAAGTCAACAATTTTTCCATTCTTTCCCTTGTATTCATGCTGATGGTGTAACAGAAGATATCTACATTAAAGCTATAAACAAGTCACCAAGGGCCCTGTATTGATCCCCTGTTACTTATGCACTTTACTGACTAATGTGTCTGATAGATTTAAAAAAAGAGCATAGTGCTAAAATGTAAATGTGGATAATTAAATGGCAATACTTGAACTAGAAAACTATGCAAAACATTTAAAGTCAATAAACCATGACTGTAGGTTCATCGCCAAATAATCTCCATGTAAATGAATGAAGTTAATCCTAATACAACTGCATATCAAATATCATTAACTTATCAAATTGGTTCCCCCCAAACCGACCTTTAACATTTAAACTAAGTAAAAGTTTAGAAGTCATGACTGAGGGGTGGGGTCAAATAATCTCAATGGACAAGAGATGTATCAATGCTCCTTCAACTGCATACCAAATACATGTATCGTTAATTTACCATTAGTAGTTCCTCTTAAACAGAGCTTATCACAAACTTTAACAAATTGTTGACAACATGGCCACTGTCAAAACTGCATCACGGGTAAGTCTCATATTTGTAACTTAGTTGAGGCAAGACAAAAAAATTGTCCCCAATTTAAATAAGGTTCAGGAGGATTTTTTTAAGTTTAAAGACTGATGATCAACAAACAGATACTCGTTAGATGGATGGACACCAAGTAATACACCTTATCGCTATTTGTCCATCATTACTGGATATCACAAAGATTTTCGTAAAATTTTGACGTCACAATAGAAAATGTTTGACGCCACAAAGGGAAAGTGACTGTTGTATGACGTCAAAAGTTCAAGTGTTGCGGATTCTCGGGTCAAGTGCCACAGATTCCCAAATAGCAATAAGGTCAATAGCAATTACAAATCCTAACCATTTGGGTTAGGGCAACAAAAACCTGATGAATGAACACATTTGTAATGTAATATATACTAATTGAACACATTTGTAATATAATACAAACTAATTGAACACATTTGTAATATAATACATACTAATTGAACACATTTTTAATATAATACATACTAATATCTACATTAGCAGATGAAATAACAGCTTCATTCTCTCTTAAAAATTTCTTTCCTCTGTCAAAAACTTGTGCATAATTTTGAACATCAAATGGAAGCACTGCTGAATCAGCTAACAGTAACACCATATCAGCCACAATTTTAGTGACCGTCTGCTCTAGTTTGGTATCTTTGTCAAGGAATGTTTCTACATATTCTTTATCATCTTCTAATGTACTAAAAGCTGGGTATGTTGGCAAATGGGGATAAATCTGAAATATAATATGTTTCAATTAATTTCCCTACATTTAAGAACATATCTATCGGTAATGTCAATGCCAAGACTTAAGAGACAATTCATTCAACTATAAAGCCACAGTGCAGTGGTTTTTACTTAATATAAAAAAAAGAAGATGTGGTATGATTGCCAATGAAACAACTCTCCACAAGAGACCAAATGACACAAAAATTAACAACTATAGGTCACTGTATGGCCTTCAACAATGAGCAAAGCCCATATCACATAGTCAGCTATAAAAGGCCCTGAAATGACAAATGTAAAACAATTCAAACGAAATAACTAACAGCCTAATTTATGTACAAAATAATGAACGAAAAACAAATATGTTACACAGCAACAGACGACAACCACTGAATTACAGGCTCCTGACTTAAGTACTTTTGTGAATCAAAGAATAAAGAGTTTTTGGATTTTTGTTTGTTTAATATCAATTGGCAGATTTTTCATTCATATGTCAGGCAATGACAAATTAAAAAGTAATGCAAGAGGTAGCTTATGCACAGTTGGTAATGGGGGAAGTTTCTACTGTTACTGGAAAATGAGATTATGTTGGGTAGGAAGCAGGAATTCTGTAATTCAAATAGGTCACCTATTAACCTCTAAAAGAGTTGTGACAAGAGGACACCCACTTTACACATGGCATCATATTTAAATGTCCCAAATTGGATGTGATGGTGTGTTTATACATACTACACAGCTAAACAGACTACCTACTTAAGCTACAGTTTTACTGCTACTCTGGAAAAGTCAAAGAGAAGACTACATGTCTGTACAAAGTCAACCCTTTGGTTGGCAAATATTTAAGCCATAAAACTATTTATGATCAATCATATTCCAGAGGTTATACCATGTTAGTCTATCTGTTACTTTTTTATCTTAGTTATTTCTTGATCATCGTTCATCATCATCAACCTTATTATTTTTTCCTGAAATTATTTAACTACATAATATATTTTTCTGAATCAAGCATTTTGATTAAATCATCATTTTGTCTTTGCTAATATCTAAAAGCTTCAAAAGATTTTTGTAAAAGTTTTAATATATAATTATTTCAATGCAGGTACTCTACCTTTGAATTAAATGTATACATTGGTGACACTGAAGGAACTCCAAGATAATACTCAAATGGTGTGTGGTCACTGTCTCCATTCAATGGATTTATTCTGCAAAACATAACATTCTGATTAAAATGGTTATCAAACACCATCATCATCTATACTGGAATATAAAATTTATTTGTAAAAGACTTGAAAACAAGTAGATTGCCTTGCATTTCTTATCCTGTTTCCAGCCAAGCACAAATTAAAATTTATATTTTGAGACAATATATACTGTAGCGAGGGGTAAAATATCGGCATAAAGGGACAACCCGTGGTAAAATCAAGATATATTCAAGCCCCCATGAATTATTTCGATTCTAATATGACAAATACAGCAATTGTTTTGGATCGAAGCGCTCTAGATGAAGGCTTTATTTGCCGTTCCCATAAATAAACGAACTATTAAATTGATGTAAAAGACCGGAGCAAACTGAATAAATGACATGCTTAAACTATTTACAATAACATATTTAGATAGGTTTGGATGAATCTAAATGATAATTGTACTTATATGTCTTATATGTCTACAAAAAATGGCTTATATAACACATTTTTCCATCGTTTGTTTACGTTTCCTTGTTGTGATGATTTTCGGTTTCACAAGCGTGTATTTTCCCGAAAATGCTTATATTCTTCTGTCATCGTTCTATGACGTCGGGTAGCTCATTCATAAAAAAGCATATGACGCGGGAGTACGATCGGAACAGCCCAAACAATATATTCATATTTTACCACGGGTGTGTACTCAAAGCGTTTGAAGAACGTCATGTTAGAATTAATAATAACCACTCTACTAATGCAAAGTAATTTATTTACTAATTTTCTTATTAACTAGACCTGAACAGGTGTCAAACTAACAAGGGCACTAGCCAAAGTGGTTTAAAATTGACGTTGGAAAAATCTATGAAACCATGGAAAAAACAATTGTGTATATCATGAATTTGATGTTCTTGTTGAATTAATGTTGCAGAATTAAACACATAGAGGGCAAGGGAGGCACATTGTTTAGACCCACACCAGCCACAACATTAAATTTTCATTTTACTAATTATTCTTGCATACTTCTAAGGAAAGTTCAACCACCCAAGATTATATAATTTGAGTGCCTCCCATCCCCACAATCAATAGATGAAAACGGCATTTTATGTAAAAAAAAGTATACTAGTCTGGCATCAATTCTTCAATATTCTTTCAAAAAATTGTTCCCTAATTTCAAATTCTAGTAAAATCCGTAAGTTTCATCTGATTTTGACACGGTTTTCAACAAACGGAAGCACCATGTTTACACTTTCATCCAGGTATTAAACAAAGAAAGATAACTTGTGTTTGCAATGTTTTTTAGCAGGAAATGTATAAGAGGTATTCCGATTCCAGTAATCCGGGACTCATCGTCAGCTGTCTGAAGCGTGAATCCCAGAAAACCGGGATTCGTCGGCGAAAGGGTTAAGCTTTTAACCTGTTTCAATACTTATATATCCTTGGCTTTCAAATATTCAGCTTTGGACGTTCCTGACGAAGGTAAATCCAGAAAAGTACTTTGGATGCATAAAATTTAAAAAAGGGTTATTTCATTTTTTACATGAAGGTTCTTGAATCTAAATCAAATACTTAATAATCAAACTGTTGAAGACAGATACTACTGTTTTTTTTTCTTCAAAACTCTGATGTACTAAGCTAATTATACCTACTTTGGCTGGGAAGGTTTCCCTGGATCCATGAATCTTTCTAACCACATATCATACACTGATTTATCATAATAATCAGGGTCTGTACAAGGCACTTTTTGTGTGGAGTTCTTTATAATACTATATAGTAATGGATTAGCTTCAGCATGGAAGGAATAGTTCCCTATAATAAAGTGCAAGAAATTTGTGAGGCATTTATAATTCAAAAATGAAAAAAAAAAATTTGAAAATGTCTGTAATTGCCAAGGTTCATATCATAAGTAAATCTATAATGTTCTTCGAATTCTCATCAGTGCTAAACTTCCTTTCCAACAAAAGCTTTAAAGAATTAAATTATAAGGAACAAGTTATTCAGTGTGCACCCCATTTTTTATGTTATTTCTTCATAGACAGAAAAAATATTACAGTCATTCCTTAAATAAAAAAAAATGATTTGAGTTATTGCCCTTGGACAGAACAGATAAAATATGTGCAAGGCGGAGGACATTGCAACTGTGTTCTTTTATTATCTTTTCTTTTGATTTGATATATCACTGCTCAGTAATTTACTTACTACTGGAGTTTGGAGTAACCTGCCTTCTCCACATAATATAAGCAATCGCTGTTTTGGTAAGGAAGACCCCAAAATCTAAATATATTGTTTTAAGTATATAAATAGCTTCATGTCCAAAGAAGAACCAGTGCCAGTTTGGCTGAATTCTGTCAAATAGTTTAGAAGAAGTTGCAGATTAAAAAAGTGTTACACGTACACTTTTAATGTGGGCAATGATTAGGATGACGACAAAACCAATCCCTATGTGTTGCCAGAGCTAGCCGCCATCAATGAAATTAAAAGAAATATGGTTTACTCCGTAGTAAAGTCTCCAATAAGCCATGGCATGTCATAATTTTTTTCTTTCATAAGAAATAGTATACTGCCTTATCTATATAATTATACCTCTTATCACAGAATCAAGATTTATATAGGCTACAGCTCCTCTTCCTAACATCTTCTCGTATTCCTGTAAAATATATTGAATACATATGAATAATTTGTGGGGTATACATCAATAAGCAGCAACCTTACAAAAATATATCCTGATGATGCCACTCATGTAGTGAAACATGTAGACATAACAAATTCTTTATTATTTCAGTATAAAATGGGTGTTGATGTCTTTATTTTCTATAAAAATATATTTGTTTAAATCTACTTTCCTTTTGGTTTATGAATAAAAACACAATAAAGGATCCAATTTCATGCAAATCATCTAAATTCCAACGGAGTTTACTTACAATACTCTTTTAATTCCCCCAACATTAAAGGGAAACTAATGCAAATAAGTAATTGTAAAGAGATTTATTTTCTTGGAGTTTAAATTTCATGATTTCTAGGTTCAAAACTGTTAAGGTTTTATTTTCCAGAGTTTCTTGTCCCTGATTTAGATTTTCATTAAATTTATTTGAAGGAATATTTTTGTGACTTCAACAAACTTTTACGGGATGGACGATGAAATAAAGGACAAAAGTGAATCATTGTTCCCCCTTTGGAACATTTATAAAACAAAACCTTAAACTTATAATTTCATACGGTTGAACGTAGTGAATAAGAGTGAAATGATTTTCTCATGTCTTTTATCATGATGTATAAGTGTCTTACCTATCATACCATTGGTTTCCCGCCGAAACAGGGGTTTTGGTGATACAGCATGACAGCGCCAAAGCAATCGGTACTAAAATTTCTTGGTAAATTTTTATTTTATTATTCCCAATTTTTATTACTAATAACATAAGATTGATAGGACTGGAGGGTTGTTTTTCTTTTTGGTATTATGTTGTTTGTAATTTTTTAGTATATATTAGTATATATACATAAGTGTTTGTTGATTGTTCATGTGAAACATATTAAACTCAGAAGCGGCCTTGTCGTGTAGCTTTGCACTTTAATATGAGTTTTTGTATTCTTCATTCTTTAACAGTAATTTCCTTTACATGGTTTTCAAAGCATACATCATCATGGGGTGACATACATGAAACTAGTATTTGAGAGTGAAGTTCTTTTAATACAGAATGAAGGTTGTTACAAGAGAACCCAATTGTCAGTATTATACAACATTTAAAGTAATAACTCTAAGGCTAGCAACCAACTCTTGGTGAAACCCTTATTCTGTAACTAGCCTTACTTACCTGAACCCATTCAAAGGAACCTATATGTCCATATTTAGATGCATCCCATAAAGCTAACATAATAGTTCTTCTTGGCCTCCAACCTATAAAAAGAAGTAAAATATTTAAAGACTAACTTTCCAAACAAATTAATTTACATTCATGAACATTTTGGTATAATAATTTATACAGTTTACATAAGTATAGGCAAACAATGAATCTAATAAATTATTCAACAAAATACAAGTTACCTATAGGCTTGCATGCAAAGTTCATCAAAACAAAATAAATTTTCCAAGATTGATTTATTGATGTTTGCTTAACTTCCAGTGGCAAATATTACATATAATACTCAGAAAAAAAAGTATCAAAGAAAATGCAAATTTTTCTTAATCCATGCAATTATGCATCCAAGAAATACTGTAAACCAACTTATTTTCACAGATACTTTATTTCCTGTTTAGCTCTTTATAACTATCTTCACAGTGATTTGTTTCTGCTTTTTTCTAATTTTCTTGATTTATCTATATAAGGAGAGGTCCAAGTTTACAAATTTGTGACATTTTTTATTTGTGTTCTTTTCAAATCATGAAAATTAGTTGGTTAACACTAATTGAATCCACAGTAGTCTGTTAGACAAATTCTAGTTTACAAGATTCTTGGCTGTAGTGTGAACATTGCAAAAGAAACTTTAAATTTATTTTGCAATTTTGAAAAGAATCTTTGAGATGGATGGATGAGCCTTTGTAAGAGGGGGTACAACCATTTTAAATCTTAGAAACTTAACTGTTACATATAGAAAGCAATATATCAGGGCTATTCCATTAAAATGTATGTGGGAGGGTAGGAAGGGACTTTCAAAATATCCGTACAACCAAGAACCATTTTTTAGATAATTTTGCATAATGGTAATAGACGCATACTGAAAAAAGACTCATGACCCACATTCAATAATTAAACTTCCCTTTCTACCCTCCCACATACATTTTAATGGAATAGCCCTCACAAAACTCTCAACAATTGACCCAACATGTTGAAAATATCAAAGTACTGCATTACCATCTCTAACAAGAGCACTGAACCCTCTGGCTAATTCCCAGATCACACTATACCCTGTTGCATGATCTACACCACCTTTGGTCCATGAATCTGTATGAGCACCAATTATTACAAATTTATCTGCAAGGTAAAATTTAACTCTAATAACTCATAATTAGACATAAGCAATATTATCTAAAATGAAAAAATTCAATTTGGAGCTGTGCCATATAAACTGAACCAGTGAGTAAATAACACACATTTTCAACATTTTTACTTTCAGGAACAGTTGTTGAAATGGAATACAATCCATTTTACAGCACAAAAGTTTGTTAGACCTGGCCTTGCAGTCATAAAACTTTGGAGTACGATTATCCTACCCAGACTAAAAATTCAACCAATCAAAAGGTTGTATTTGGTGTTTCGAGCACAAATTTTGTACTCTGAGTATTGGATAAATATTTATGACACAGAGCCCTGGAATACATAGAACATTTTTAAATTGTGCATTTTTTACTACTATGGTTGTTTTTTACTCTTTGTAACAGGTAACCAATAGAAATATAAAAAAAAATGAAGCTTTTAAAATCTGCATAAAGGAAGAAAATAATATTTTTTGAAGTGTCTTTCTGTATCTTTTTGATGCAGGTAGATATTTGTAAACACCATTGAGCTATTCCTTTCAGAAATTTTGAACATTTATTTGGAACGCCTACATATCACCCAAACTGTCAGAATGATTACCTTTTTCATATTTTCCATCTATAACAGCAATAACATTGGAAATATTTCTTCGTTCTATCACATTATTTACATCTAACTCTAACTGTAAGCTGTCAATATAAAAATATTATCAAAGATTATGAGTTAACCAGGAAACAGTTTTAGCTTAATCAATATCTAACAAAGAATTATTCTCAATGTAATTCTAAGTATAAATCATTTTTAGTGTAAAATAAAAACATAGTTTTCTCATTTGTATTTTGATTCTTAAATCATATCGATATGAAAAGGAAGCTCATTTCCGACTTCTTTCATAAAGCTTACAACTCAAGCAAATTTTGAATATAAATTACATTTCAAAGGGACACAATTCCTGTAAAAATTGTAGATTGGCAGTAATTTTCAAATTGTCAAAGACATGACTGATATAAACCTTTTTGAGAAATTGCATATAAATAGGAATAACTGAAAGAAACATTAAGGAAGCAAACAACTGTCTAGAACATGTATTGGCTGTTTTATGCTCTATGGTCGGGTTGTTGTCTCTTTGACTCATTCCCTGTTTCCATTTTCAATTTTAATGATGTCTTTTTTAAAACTCTTAGTCTTTATTACTGTATTTGGACATGTATAATACACACTTTTTTACTCAAGATATATAGTTGGTACATATATACATAAATGCATACTATACATGACCAAATACAGTATTTATTCACATTGCTATGAAAAGTAAAACCCAGGTCTTGCTGTCTTCAACTTTCATCAGACATAGGTGACATCAAATTGTATATTTCTTATTCTAATAATAAATACCTATCATCACTAAAACCAGGTCCTGTTTTATACGAGACATTCAAGCAGCCACGCCAGTCATCTGGTGCTGTTTGTCCCCCTAACTGACTGAAATACAAATTATTACATATTTTAGATGACTTTGATTGAGCTCTTTTTTTTTTCTCATTTACTATGAATTCATTTATTTTTGTGGGTACCAATCTTTCGTGGGTTGAGGAAAAATTGTATTTTCACTGATATTAAATTTCATGGTTTTGCCAGACTCTAAAGAAAATGTGTATTTTGTTGAACACTCAAATTGGTGCTTCACCTATACCCACTTAATCCAGGAAAATTGGTATTCCACCAATGATATTAAATCCACAGTATCTAAGGGAGCTACCATTTGATTTTTATGGGGGGGGGGCTAGGATGAAATTTGAAAAAAAATAGGCAGGACAGGAGTTTTGAGTAAAAAAAAAGGTAGGATGACAATTTATGTAAAAAAAAAGTCAGGATAAATTAAAAAAAAAAAAAGGCAGGACAGAGATTACAACTAAAAAAAAAATGCAGGACAAAATTTTTCATCCTAGCCCCTCCCCTTAAAAATCAAATTGCAGCTCCCTAATTCTAAAGTTTTAGGCAAAACAATTATCAATATAGCAATAACAAAAACATCAGGGTACATGAAACTAATGGATTGTTTGTACAATTTTTCTATCAATTTAAAAAAAAATAAATGGGGAATGTGTCCATGGGACACAGATGATGCCCCCGCTTGCATATAACGTAATAAAGGGACATAACTCAAAAATGGTAAGATTGACACTACCCAAATTCGTACTTGGTCTGAGTTTTGTGGTAATAAGCATTGTGTATAAGTTTCATAACATATGGTTGAGGCAAATTAAAATTAGAGAACAGAAACCAAAAATTCAGCAGTTTTTCCATTTGTAAAGGGGCATAATTCTAGACCGGTAAAAGTGATGCCACCAAAATTCAAACTTGATCTGTGTTATGTGGTAATGAGCATTGTAAATAAGTTTCATAACATTTGGTTGAGGCAAATTAAAGGTAGAGAATGGAAACAAATTTTTGGATGTACGGACAGACAAGGGTAAAACTTAATGCTCCTTACGCTAAGGCAGGGGCATATAAACAACAGAACAATCAATTTTGCAAATCTATGAGAGCAAATTTTAATATGTTGTGAATATTTAGAAAATTTAAAGAGCTGATTACACAAGAATGTTATAATATGTTGCTGAAAAAAGACTAGCGGTAAATTTGAAAACTGTGTGAAAGAGGTGTGATGAGGGCTTTAATTTGCCCCCAATAGACTTAATTTTTCTAGACGGAAATGTTTCGAGTGGATGAATAAACATGTGAGAAAGTGAAATATTAAGACTTTTATTAGCTTTTCTGATCAAGTCCTTTTGTTCACTCACTAATAGATATAGACTAGTTTTCTTGGGATTTGGTGGAAACTTGAAATTTATGCTAATTTTGACCTCATGAAAAGAACACCAATATGTAAATTAAAAAAAAAACTATTCCTAAAAAATAACTAGTCATAGTTTTATGTCATGGCCTTTTCATCCGAAGTCGAGAGTTAAACTAGAAAAAGAGGTCATTTTATATCCTAACCAGCCTTCTTCTTTGCAAAAAAATATAATGTAATTTAAGGTTCACAAAAAAAAACATAAAAAAACACATTAATGAATCAGAAATAAGAAGGGAACACAGTTGGATAGTATTTAAGTATAATTACCTCATAAGATATCTAGCATCATCATACCCAATTGGTTGAACTGGAATTTTAGGATAGTTTGCATTCTCTGATAAGGTATGTGGTGCACCATCTGAAAGGACAAAAAATAATTATTGAGGTTTTGAGAGAATATTTAAGCAGAAATTGTTACAACTCAAATTGAACAATTCATAAACTGAGAATTTTTAATAAAAAATATATATTATTTATGGCTATTCCATTAAAATGTATGTGGGAGGGTAGGAAGGGACTTTCAAAATATCCCTACAACCAAGAACCATTTTTTAGATAATTTTGCATAATGGTAATAGACGCATACTGATAAAAGACCCATGACCCACATTCAATAATTAAACTTCCCTTCCTACCATTCCACATACATTTTAATGGAATAGCCCTTACAGTAAGTTAGTGCAGAAAATGGATGGATGGCTGTTCAACATCCAGTGGCAAATTAAAGGTATATTCAGGACAGAAACATGTTAGTGTGATATGAATATGAAGCCTCCTTTGTACTAAACTCACAAGGTGAGCCAGATTTTTAACATTCTATTTCACAAGGTAACTGTCTGCAGGAAGAAATGCCATCCTACCCTGACACACTATTCAGTAATTCTGACTCAGAGCCAAACAGTCATTGCTCTTACTCCTTAATGCAACTTGCATTGCAGATAAGCAGCAAATATCAATTTAAGTCTTTGGTTTTGGAACACATGACTTTTTGCACTTGAGGCAAACACATTACCACCTTAACGAATGTAAACCATGTTTGAGCACAAACCCTGATACTATACTTACTAATAGCTGGATATCCAGGTGTCTGGGGATCCCCAACCAAATTATATCTAACATATGATAAAGGCACGGCCCAACCTGGTAACCACCATGTTTTAGTATACACCTTTATATTGTACTTACTAATAGCTGGATATCCAGGTGTCTGGGGATCCCCAACCAAATTATATCTAACATGTGATAAAGGCACGGCCCAACCTGGTAACCACCATGTTTTAGTATATACCTTAATATTGTAATTACTTATAGCTGGATATCCAGGTGTCTGAGGGTCACCAGCCAAATTATATCTAACATGTGATAAAGGCACGGCCCAACCTGGTAACCACCTTGTTTTAGTATACACCTTTATATTGTACTTACTAATAGCTGGATATCCAGGTGTCTGAGGGTCACCAACCAAATTATATCTAACATGTGATAAAGGCACGGCCCAACCTGGTAACCACCATGTTTTAGTATACACCTTTATATTGTCCTTACTAATTGCTGGATATCCAGGTGTCTGGGGGTCAAAACGAAATTATATCTAACATGTGATAAAGGCACTGCCCAACCTGGAAGCCACCATGTTTTAGTATACACCTTTATATTGTACTTACTAATTGCTGGATATCCAGGTGTCTGGGGGTCAAAACGAAATTATATCTAACATGTGATAAAGGCACGGCCCAACCTGGTAACCACCTTGTTTTAGTATACACCTTTATATTGTACTTACTAATAGCTGGATATCCAGGTGTCTGAGGGTCACCAACCAAATTATATCTAACATGTGATAAAGGCACGGCCCAACCTGGTAACCACCTTGTTTTAGTATACACCTTTATATTGTACTTACTAATTGCTGGATATCCAGGTGTCTGGGGGTCACCAACCAAATTATATCTAACATGTGATAAAGGCACGGCCCAACCTGGAAGCCACCATGTTTTAGTATACACCTTTATATTGTTCTTACTAATTGCTGGATATCCAGGTGTCTGGGGGTCACCAACCAAATTATATCTAACATGTGATAAAGGCACTGCTCAACCTGGAAGCCACCATGTTTTAGTATACACCTTTATATTGTACTTACTAATTGCTGGATATCCAGTTGTCTGAGGGTCACCAACTAAATTATATCTAACATGTGATAAAGGCACGGCCCAACCTGGTAACCACCTTGTTTTAGTATACACCTTTATATTGTACTTACTAATTGCTGGATATCCAGGTGTCTGGGGGTCACCAACCAAATTATATCTAACATGTGATAAAGGCACGGCCCAACCTGGAAGCCACCATGTTTTAGTATACACCTTTATATTGTTCTTACTAATTGCTGGATATCCAGGTGTCTGGGGGTCACCAACCAAATTATATCTAACATGTGATAAAGGCACTGCTCAACCTGGAAGCCACCATGTTTTAGTATACACCTTTATATTGTACTTACTAATTGCTGGATATCCAGTTGTCTGAGGGTCACCAACTAAATTATATCTAACATGTGATAAAGGCACGGCCCATACTGGTAACCACCATGTTTTAGTATATACCTTAATATTGTACTTACTAATAGCTGGATATCCAGGTGTCTGGGGGTCACCAACCAAATTATATCTAACATGTGATAAAGGCACTGCCCAACCTGGTAACCACCATGTTTTAGTATACACCTTTATATTGTACTTACTAATTGCTGGATATCCAGGTGTCTGGGGGTCACCAACCAAATTATATCTAACATGTGATAAAGGCACAGCCCAACCTGGAAGCCACCATGTTTTAGTATACACCTTTATATTGTACTTACTGATTGCTGGATATCCAGGTGTCTGGGGGTCACCAACCAAATTATATCTAACATGTGATAAAGGCATGGCCCAACCTGGTAACCACCATGTTTCAGTATATACCTTAATATTGTACTTACTAATAGCTGGATATCCAGGTGTCTGGGGGTCACCAACCAAATTATAACTTACATGTGATAAAGGCACTGCCCAACCTGGTAACCACCATGTTTTGGTATACACCTTTATATTGTACTTACTAATTGCTGGATATCCAGGTGTCTGGGGGTCACCAACCAAATTATATCTAACATGTGATAAAGGCACTGCCCAACCTGGTAACCACCATGTTTTAGTATACACCTTTATATTGTACTTACTAATTGCTGGATATCCAGGTGTCTGGGGGTCACCAACCAAATTATATCTAACATGTGATAAAGGCACGGCCCAACCTGGAAGCCACCATGTTTTAGTATACACCTTTATATTGTACTTACTGATTGCTGGATATCCAGGTGTCTGGGGGTCACCAACCAAATTATATCTAACATGTGATAAAGGCACGGCCCAACCTGGTAACCACCATGTTTTAGGATATACTATTGATTGTCCATTAGCATAATCTGCAGGGTCAGGATATAGGATGACACCTGCTGCTCCTGCATTTTGTGCATGTAATACCTAGAAATGTAAATAAGCATTTACTATATAAATTTAACAGGTATTAACTCTTATTGGTGCAAAGATACAACTAGAGTTCCCAGGAAGTCTGTATAGTACACTTGGCAACTATGCAAAATATTGACTAACGTTTCTCTAAAAATTCAGAAACAGCATTGTGTTCTGACATTTGAAAGAGCTTGAGGTATTGAAAAAAAGAAAAAAAAATTTCGTTCCATAGTTGCAAACATTCTATTGTATGGTTTTATTTAGATGTTGTTGTTTTTTTGGACCCATGTTTCTATCAGCTGTAATACCAAAATCAATTAACAAGACGTTTCCTCTTTACTTATTTTTATTGGCATTTTTGAGAATTCAAAAGCTGACTCTCCATGGGTATGTTCTTGTTCCAAATTGACAAGATGTTTACTGTTAAGGATGTGGCTTGTCATGTTTTGGGATTTTTGTCAAATTTTCGGAATTCTCTGGTTTTATCCATTTGAATGCCTTAAAAAAAATTGCCCACTAACCCCCATTTTTCTTTTTATAAATCATTTGCATTTATAATTATAAGCCATCTGTTAAAGTCTTATAAAATCCTTGTTATTTTTTAGTACTTTTTGAGAACTTAAACTTGTCAATGATAAAGCTATGAAAAATCAAGAGAGAACATTTTACCGGCAAATTTTCAATGGCTAATATCTCAAAAACAAGCATACGGACCTATAACTTTTTTTCCATCTTTTGATTTCTTTATTAATCCCCTATAAATATATACCAGTTATGAAAAGCTTGTTATTTTGAAACTGAGTAGCGAACTTCCTTAAGCTGAAAGGTAGACATTTTAGTAATTGTATGGCTTGCATTCAGAGGACTACTATACTTTGGACTTTTCTTAAAATAATTCATAAACTGTAAAGAATTTTGATCAATGAAAAAATGGAAAGAATCTGACTTTGGAAAAAGACAACATTGTGTTAGGTCAGAATTTTAGCCATTCACCTTTGGACTCTGGACAAATTGTTGTTGCAAGGGTTAAACAAGCCAAGTATGTAGTACCCTCCTAATGAAAATGGCTTTCATAATAAATTTTCTTTTTAATTTGTTAAAAGGTGCAAGTGTGGACACATACTTGTGTTATCTTCTGGGTAAATTTTCATAATGACTTGTAGAGGGATGGTTTCAGCAGGGTGTCAACTGGTGTATTTGCCACTCCAAAATGTAAAATTCTGTTTAAAAGGTATAACTTAACCATATAAACTGTCCATCTGGGACCATAATACATCTCTTACCTTATTAGCTGGGTGTATTTTTCCATACTTGACTAAAATAACATTCTTTTTGACAGTAACATTTAACTTTTTTAATCTTGAAAAATCTTTTTTGCATCCATAGTTTGCATAGATGAGCTTGCTCTACAAGTAAAAAAAAAAATCAATTTTAATTCAACTATACAGTCAGGGGACTTACTGAAATAAGTGATTTACAAATCACTTATTTAAGTAGCAAATTCAAAATTTTGTGTTAAATTGTGATTTTGTAGTTTAACCAAAATTTTAAACATATAGGTTTAGATTATATCTTATTATTAGTAAAATTGGAAAATATCAACATTTTTCTTCTTTTAAATAGCAAGGTTTATGCCTTTGATGCAATCATTTAGCTGTAAATTCTATATTTGTTGAAAAAATGCTATAATAAAGGCTTTACATAATGAACTGATACTTTCTTAACAGATTTTTCCCAGCAGTGGGAATAATTTTCCTGTAAAATTCAAGGTTTCATCTTACAGATTATGTAATAAAATTTTACTGTTCGCGATCAAAATTTCACTGTTCGAGGGTGTTGAAATTAGTAGGGGTAATTAAAATAATAATACTTAAAGAAGTGATTTTTTGGAAGAAAATAGAGGTATGATACTTAAACAAGTGATTTTTCATGTCATTATCCCAGATTCAGTACAAGGTCATCACCTGACATGACCTTCATCATATCAACACAGATGTTGGTTCTGATAATTTTAGCAACACAATTAGTCCCTGGATCATTAGTATTGTATATTTAAAGCTACAATAAAATTAAATCACTTAGTCTAGTGATTTATTTGTACTACTTAAATAGGTGATTATTAAAGAAAGACAACTCTTACTTCCAACATTTGTGGAGACAATGTTACTTGAATCAGTGATTAATAAATCACTCATTTGAGTAAGTCCCCTGACTGCTATATAATAACCAATGAGTAAACTATAAACAATCACCAATAATTTGAACCTTTCCCAAGCCATGGGTTCACCCTTGGATCTACTGGCTTTTTCGCTTGTGTAAAATAATATCTTGCTTTCAATCTATGGAATCTGTGATGCTAAATTGGTACTTCGTATGATCTTTAATAAAGAGAGATTCCAAATATTTCTTTCTAACAATTGTTTTTCTTTTCAATCTTTTATAAATATCTTTCATGCAAGATATTTTTTCTAATCTTTTGAAAAAACTGTGATGTAAATGGCGCAGTTCTTGGAGGACACTAGATGATTTAGACAATTTAAAGTTTGACATATTGTTAAGACACGTCAGTTGTTGAAGACTGTATGTTGCCCTCTAAATGTCTTCTGGTCATTTTTGTCATTGCGTTGATGTCTCATTGAGGTATACCCAACATCATCTTTTATCCATTTCTGTTGACTATAGTTAAAAACTTGAGGCAATTTAAACCTTGACATATATTTGTTTCCTGTTGAAGATGAACTGGTAACATAAAAGATCATTTTATATGTTTGATATGTTCAAAGAGCATTTTATAGATTGAGCTTATCAGAAACACTTAAACTAAATAAATGGAGAATGTGTCCCCATGGACACAGATGATGCCCCCGCTTGCATACAACATTATAAAGGGACATAACTCAAGAACAATAAAAGTGATGCAACCCAAATTTGTACTTGATCTTAGTTTTGTGGTAATGAGTATTGTGTATAGGTTTCATGTTTGGTTGGGGCAAACTTAAGTTACAGAACGGAAACTAAAAATTTTGCAATTTTTCGATTTATAAAGGGGCATAACCATACCTGCCAACCTCTGAAACCTTCAAAGAGGGAGATCTCCCTCTCAGCTATGACAGCTGAGGGGGAGATTTTGCGCGAACGACATTTTCAAGTGAAATATATGACGTGTTTATTTATTCATCTACGAAACACATATAAGAGTTAATAGATATACTTTGTTTCTTTAAATATGGTTATATCCCCTACAGAAGGTGTGTTGTTTGTTTCTTTCCTATTTCATCAACTTTGACATTTGAATACCTTTCAGACATCTTTCACACCCTCTGTTATAATTATAATAAGAGAGCAATCATGTTGTCACAGATGCATTTTGTGTGTGCACATATCCCTTTCACTAAATTTGGTTCAATACATATCCTATAAATTTTAATATAAAAATTGAATAGAAGTATAGATCTTTTAAGTGATTTCTAAAATATAATTATTTTTTTTGTCTTACGGCATACAAAATCTTTTAATTGCCATCCTTTTATGATTCTTTTGTTTAATTTGTATTTAGTTTATATTGTTTTATCAGTTCAAATTATTTTGAGAAGGGTAACTTTAAACAGGATTAAACAGGGGAAGTAACCCGAAATTTCTTTGAAGTGTTTTGCTTGAAGCAAAAGTCGTTAATGATCATTAATTAGTACTATGTTTGACACCCAAGCTGTCAAGTGAAGCCATTTAATTTCACATGGTCTGTGATTTACAGGTAAAAACAACCCTCATCAGTGAGACAAAAACGTAATTAATGTTGACTTGTCATTCAAGGTTAAAATATCCCAAAGCGGGAGATTCTATACTCCCGCGCGGGAGGGTACTGGCAAGCGGGAGATTTCCCGAATTTCGCCATTTGAGCGGGAGTCTCCCGCTCAAAACGGGAGGGTTGGCAGGTATGGCATAACTCAATAATGGTTAAAGTGACACTACCCAAATTCAACTTGATCTGTGTTTTATCAGTGGAAGGCAAAATTAAACATTGCATTGTATAAAGCATTGATTGTAGTTGATTTAACTATAATCATGGACAAAGGAAGATAACTCCAATTTTTAAAATTACTTGGAACAATGACATCATTGATATTTTTAGAAAAAAAATGTAGCAATTTTTCTGTTTGTAAAGGGCATAACTCTAGAACAGTAAAAGTGATGCCACCAAAATTCAAACTTGATCTGTGTATTGTGGTAATAAGCATTGTGTATATGTTTCATTACATTTGGTTGAAGCAAACTTAAGTTAGAGAACGGAAATGAAAAATTTTGCAACTTTTCCATTTATAAAGGGGCATAACTCTAGAACGGTTAAAGTGACGCCACCAAAATTCAAACTTGGTCTGTGTTTTGTGGTAATAAGCATTGTGTATAAGTTTGATAACATTTGGTTGAGGCAAACTTAAGTTAGAGAATGGAGCACAATTTTGGGACGTACGTATGGACAGACGGACAGACGGACAAGGGTAAAACTTAATGCCCCCTCCGCTTCGGCAGGGGCATAAAAATGTAAAGCCCAAAGATGTATAACTACTTTAATATGTGAGAAGCTATATGACCAAAAAGGTCCAAAAATAATAGACAAATCTATCTTATGTCAACTTTGTCTAAGAAGTTAGAACTTTAGTTTCTTATCAATTTCTATCATCGAAATATTTAAGAAAGGTGTGTTATAAATCATGTAAGAACAAAAGGACGGACTACTGTGTGGATAATACTCTTGGGTACTAGCAGTACACCAGCATCTATTCAAGATGCTGTCTTGTTTTCAACACTTTGTACACCCTGCCCATGTTATGGACACTTACCCTGATAAAACCAAAAGGAGAGTACGCATTGAACGGTATGTAATCTGGATGTATCCAAGAGACTGTCATGTGATAAACACTTACCCTGACAAAACCAGAAGGAGAGTACGCATTGAACGGTATGTAATCTAGATGTATCCAAGAGGCTGTCATGTGATCAACACTTACCCTGACAAAACATTCAAAACCAGGAGATTAGGCATTGAACAGTATGTAATCTGGATGTATATATGAGGCTGTCATGTGATCAACACTTACCCTGACAAAACCAGAAGTAGAGTAGGCATTGAAAGGTATGTAATCTGGATGTATACAAGAGGCTGTCATGTGATCAACACTTACCCTGACAAAACCAGAAGGAGAATAGGCATTGAATGGTATGTAATCTGGATGTATAAATGAGGCTGTCATGTGATCAACACTTACCCTGACAAAACCAACAGGAGAGTAGGCATTGAATGGTATGTAATCTGGATGTCTACATGAGGCTGTCATGTGATCAACACTTACCCTGACAAAACCAGAAGGAGAATAGGCATTGAATGGTATGTAATCTGGATGTATCCCAGACATGTTATCATGGTTATAATGTGCTTGGAATACTACACTGGTATTTGGCATCGTTGATAATACTGAAATGCTGCTAGATTTTGATGTGCTGAAAAAGTATAGAAAATTGTGCATTCAGGAAATTTTACTGCCATAACAAGTGAAATATTACAAAATCAATAGATTTTTGCATTAAAATGATTGATACAGTCGATTCCAGTTATTTGCATAGCCTATTTGTCAGAAAAAATTATGCAATTAAGAGGAGTATGCTTATATCCGAAATGCCAAATTACGGAGTCAAATAACATCGACAGTAAAGATCAGTAAAGGAAATCCCTGAAGAAAGATGAATGGCCATAATCCACTTACAACATGTTGAATGTTGATTTATTCTAATAAAAGTTATAAGTCTAGTGTTATTCATGTTTTTGTATTTTGTATTCTTTAAATAAAGTTTATAAACACATTTTGTTTTAGTTTACATTTCCTTTACCTGGGATACAAAATTAGAACAAATTGTTCTAAAAATAGATTTGTTTCTATGACCCGTATGTACAATGTACATCATTAAGCTTTGATTAAACTAAACTACACAGTTTATTATCAATTTTAACAATAAATGTGTAATGAACTGCCTTTGATATGCAGTATTTACCACTTGCACAGTGATGTAACACTGTTTCTTTAACCTCGTTAGCTTCGTATATATGCAAAGCAGTAAACAGGTAAAGGGGCCCTGTACGGGTTATTTGCTGGACACGAGTGTTGAACGTGTGAAAATATAATAATTAGAAGTGAATGCTCTTTTCCAAAAATAATAAAAATAAATGATTGAAGAATAAAATTCCTCAACCATATATAAATATATATAATGTTCATGTGTCGTGTGGTAGGGTATCATATTTGTCTAGTTTTTCTGGGATATGAAATCAAACAGAAAAATAGTCGTTATGATATTTACATCAGGGTTAAACCAATCATCAGAGGTCAGTTTGATGGTAAATTAGATTTTGGACTTTTTTTGTCCAGCTTAGTTCTCGGAGACGACTTGACACACATTCATAAAACTGCACCATAATGACAATCTCCGCACATGTGCACATAGGGTTTGGAATTTTCAAGATGGCCGCCATTACCATGGAAACGGCAAAAATGTAGAAAACCAAAAAGTGGTCCAAATTTAATGAAACTTTCAGGAAATATAACTCGTCATTTTAAAGTGTGCCATCTATCTTTAAAACTTTCAAAATGGCCACCGTTGCCATGGAAACTGTCCACATGTGAAAAAAAATGAAAAAAAATCCTTAATTAATTCATAGTTAATCAACCATTACAGATACGACCCCAAAACCTACCCCCTTGAATTGAGGGTATGCACTGTACAATTGATTGCTGTGGAATTTTAAAGATTGCTGCTGTTACCATGGAGATAATGCTAAAAGTGTAATATTGACCCATATGGGATAAAACTTCAAAGTAACATTTTCTTGCCAATTTTAAGATCGAATCCGGTTAAATGTTATAAAAATGACATTTATCTTTGAAATTTTCAAAATGTCCACCATTGCATGGAAACAGCAAAAAAAAAATCGCCACCAATCTACTTTAAATGAATGAAAACTGAATCGAGTAACAATTACTAACATATGCCCTGTAATGTTTAACATAAATCCAAATCATCCCAAGCCAAATTGCGAGAATACACATTGGATGGTCTTTCAAAGTAAATTAGCAGGCGTTATTGTTTTTAAAATTCACCCCAAATGTAATCTATGGACAATGCTTAAAATCCAATCAATAATTAACACCTTTTGGGATAGAATGGTCGTGTTTTTACAACAATTACCTGTTTGACATTTTATGACCTCAAGGCTTAAAATAGAACATGGGAAACTTCACCTGTGTACACATCGAGGGTTATTTTAAAGTAAAACTCCATCATATAAACACGAAAGAAACTGTTTTAAAACTTTTATTTTAATAACGCAAAAGTGAATATGAAATAATAACGAAAATGATGATGCATTCAAGTAAATATATTTACCAAATTGCCGTTTCCGGTAAAAAATCTCGTCAGTTTGAACTAAGCATATCTAGCCAGCAATTATTTTCAATGCAATTAACCGAAAGGCCACTTGTAAGGCTATGCATATAACCAGATAATTTAACATTAGATGAATGGGAAATGGTTTTGTGCAGGAGAAAATTATGCAATTAACCGAATTATGCTATTAAGCGGTATGCGATTAAGTGGAGTCAACTGTATATATGAAGAAGTCATTTATTTACTGTAAACCAACTTATTTTCGCGGATACTTTATTTCGCATTTAGCCCTTACTAGCCCATTACGAAGCAATTTAATTTCGCAATTTTCAAAATTCCAATGGTCATATAACCAGATATAAACATAAACATAAAATAAATAGATAGCAACCACGTGCAACTAGATTTTTCTAGGTCTGTTTGATTTCATATTGTAGCTTAAAAAGTATGTTTATCATTGTTTTTACCTATATAAGAATGATTTTTTTGTGGATCGAATCAGTCAACCAAATGGTTCATCTTTGTTTCACTTTCGATGTTGACATTCTCTTCCTTTTAATAGCTGAATACATGCGTAACCCATCTCCAGCTAAGGGGTTAAACTGAAGGTCACATGAAATACGGATTCAATGAGGTCGAATTATTCAAGTATAATTCATTAGCAATGTTTCTTATCTTGTTTTGACAAACTTGAACCAAATTGGCTGCTAAAAGAAAATTTTTATTTCATGTTCATTAAGGTGTAGTACCACCAAATCATAGTACGTCACATCCAGTTGCATACGAGAAAGGGTTGAAAAAAAATATTCCCTTGAATTTGACAGTTGTAGGAAAGTAATCCTACATTTCATTGCAGTAAAAAAAATTCTGAGTCATAAACATATATCTTGGGTGTTTCAAAGCACCCTTATTTTTTTATTTGGTGTTTCTATAGAATTATTTTGGAAACATGAGGTTACAATGTTACTAAAGCTTGTACACAGGAAAAAAAGGGGTGAACATTTGATTGGTTAACTTCCAGTGATGGTTATTTTCTTATATGCAATGAAATGTTATGTGAAATTTTGTGTATAGTACTGGACAGGATAAAACTTTACTCATGCCAAGTATTTCTTTATTTGAAACAAGGATAACTTCTGCACATTTTTTTGAAAAGTGCAAATTTAACAAAGACTAATAGGGGAATATCAATGGTGGTATTACACCTTAATCATTGAACAAAAAAAAAAATCATATTTCAATTTTTTTTTATATCTTATAGCTAATGCCCCTTTAAGCAAAAATAATATAATTATGTTTGCTGCATCCCTCCCTACCCTAAATTTTCAAGCCTATCCTAACAAATCTTATATATATTTTTGTTAAGCAGCATTTAAGTCCAAACAGTTTTGGTATAGTATAGTTTCACTCGATAACATTTCCCTTTATAGTCTATGTTAACTATTTTTTTTCAAAAACGAAATTATTTTACCTTCCTACCAAACTTATTATTCTGCCAGGAGATAGGAAAAAGTATACATTTGCGGGGCCCCATACAAGCCTATTTTTCAAAGTACATATATCTGTCCAATACTTACTAATTACGATATGATAATAAGACACTGTACTGTTTCATTTTGACAGAATCAAGAGGGAAAGAAGACCAGAACTGTATCAAATACTCTATAAACTTATTAGTTGTACCAATTCCTGATAACATCACCTGTCTGGACATTTCACTACAAAGAAATTTCAACAAAAAAATCAACAATATTCATCAAAATACATAACTAGCTTTTAATACATATGAACAGAATGTTCAGTTTACAAAGCAGGATCTTATTGGAGTTCGTGTTGCTCAGCTTTTAGTTGTCAATGTATTGTTTTGCAGACTGTTGTCTGACTTTTTGTCATTTCCCCATTTTTTATTGCCATGGGTTGTCAGTTACTCTTTTTTTGTTTAGTTTTGAATATCTCTTTGGTATTATCCACCTCTTTTTTACATTAAATTTTTAATTTTCCAAAAATTAGACATTACAATGAAAATAAATCATTTTCACCAATAATTTGTTGATTTTCTGTTTTTAATTGTTTCTCTTTTTTATATAAGAGCCTTTTAAAGCCTACTATGCACTATGAGTGTTGCTCATTATCAAAGACTGTACAAGGACCTGTTATTGTTCACATCTTTTGGTCTATTGGAATGTTGACTCATAGGCAATCATGCCACACCCCCTTATTATTAAACTGTCTATTGTGTATGCTTTTCTAGGTTTTAATTGTTTGTTTCTTTTTTATATTTTGTAGTCTAGAAAGGTAGAGTGCAAGGGTATGAGGATGGCTGAGTGCTCACAAACATTTTGAACCTGGCCACATTCTGTATGTGCCTGTCATAAATTAAGAGCCTGTCATTCAGTGGTTATAGTTGGTTGCTGTCTGTCATGTTAGTTTTTCATTTTTACTAGGGATGTCAACTCGGTGAACAATTACTAATCGAGTACTCGTTGGTTTTATCGAGCGATACTCGAGTACTTGCTCGGGAATAAATCTACAACACGGAAACACAAAAATATGTACTTTACATTCTGTGGTTTGTTGTTTAACGGACGAAAAACCATGTACATAAATAAGGAATTAAACACCATAATTATTAGCTCATTACCTACAAGTGCTAATTAAGTAAAAAAAAACAATAATCTAATCAATGTTATTTTATGAACACATATTTAAAAATTTCAACAAGGAAAACTCATTTCAAACAATAGTATTTGGTAAATACGTTAAGAAAACACATTAAATGTTTACAAAGGAGTAATGATTAGATGTTGAACTATTCACTGAAAGTCAGCAGAGGATGCAACGAATATATCTTATTTGTAAATATTTTCTTGTGAATTATTATTGGGGACAGTCGGTTTTGTAACTTTGTAACTAACAGTCTTGCAGACAAAAATATTTGATCTGACGGTACTGATGTGACGGAATAGCTAAGACATGTTCAGTTTAAAGTGTTATATAGCCTAGGTATAACCCGAGGAGGCATTTTAAATGACAGTTTAGCACAAGCATTCGAAACAAAATGTATTTTATTTACTAATTTGATTAATCAGTGATGCCTCTTTAATTTTCCGAAAAGAGGTTCTCAAGAAGATCAATTTCATATAAAAAAGACAGTTATATAAAAGGACACTGATTTGTCGAGTATCGCTTTGGTATTTGATACTCGGTACTACAGAGCGATACTCGAATACTCGAGTACTCGTTGACATCCCTAATTTTTACATACATCAGACTGTTGGTTTTCTTGTTAGAGATGTTTAACATTTTATCATGTCATGTCTTTCATACATAGCTTTCTGTAAGGTAGGGGTTTTTGCTCATTGTTGAAGGCCGTACAGTGACTTATAGTTGCTTACAACCTCATCATTCAGTCTCTTGTAGATAGCTGTCTGCTTGACAATTATACCACATCTTCTTATTTTTATATAGTTGTAATCTTGTCATTCAGATAACTTTGCTACCCATGATGCCACAGATTTCTATTGTTTTTTGTTTCCTTTTATTCTTTAGTCTGGATCTTCAACTTGTTATCTGGGTAACTTTGTTATCCCAGCTGGATGCCAATTTTTAGTTTACAGTGGGCATGTTTGAGACAAAATTTTGACAGTGGTAATTTTTTAAAAGTAGTGGTAACTTCGCTATCCCAATATGCCAAGTTTCTAGTTTTCAATAGCCAGGTTTAAGACCACATTCTGACGGTGGTAAATTTTTAATACTAGTGGTAACATACTTGAGATGGTCCTTGTAGTTAGCAGTATCATTCAAGTCTGCCTGTATCTTCTGTCGCAGCAAATCATTATAGTTCTACAAAATAAATCATATCAAATAGTACATCACAGCTAGTTGTATTGAATAAGTGTATAAAATTTATATCATTTGTTTGAAATCAGGATGCCTGACCTTAAAAAGAACTATTGACCTATAATGGTTTACTTTTAAAAATTGTAACTTGGATGGAGAGTTGTCTCATTGGCACTCATACCACATCTTCATATATCTATATATAAGGGAAGAATGCTGTTCAATAATAAACAAGCATATAATCAAGGTCAAGGTTACTCAAATTGCAGTTTACTTATAAAGTATACCTACAATAGAAAAAAAAACCAAATCAAAACAAAAAAAATGTTGATCTGATTAACATTCATCATGAGTAAAAAAAATCATGACACCATACTGTGATTTCATTTATTTTAGTGGCTAATAATTTTCATGGATAAGGGAAAAACAAATTTTTTTTGTGGATATTTGATTTCATGGTTTTACGAATGTTTGCCTACAAGCCTATAGAAAATTTGTTCACCTGTACCCACAAAATGCACGAAAACTGGTATCCAATGAATAATAGTGTATTCACAGTATATGTTTGACCTCAGGCTATAATAACTTGAACTTTGACTTCTAACTGACATCAAAATGGTTAAACCAACCTTTTTTTATTTTGAAATTTTAAAACAGCTATGAGTTATAATGTTTGACCTGAGTTTGATAAGTTTGACAAGAACGATTCATTCAGTATAAAAATAAGTGGTACAATTGCCATAATTCTTCTTCCAGTTAGCTTGTGAAACAAAGAAAAAAACTATATTCAACTATTGTGAAACCACATGTGTTAAAAAATGTTAAGAGATTTACAGATATTCCCCATAAATATATTGTGATTTACAGATGCTCACACAATATGAAGCTTTTTGAGCTTGTACATTGTGCCCTCTCACGATAAAATCTTTATACGTAACTCTCAGTTGCATTTTAGAATATCAATGAACAAAAACACAAACAATCCTTTCTCAACTATACTGTTAAACGAGAAGACCTCAATTTGTGTGTCGCTTCTCTTCCTTCCACAATAAATACATCAGCATGTCTCTGTGTCCTATAGGTACCTTGCATAGTCGCATTTGTCATCCATTCTTATGATTATTCAGTATGGGTTATTTGGGGAGAAAAATGAAAATAAAGATGTCCGAATATTGTTTCCGTCATCAGACAGACCGACTTTTAAGTCATAGACAAGACTTCCGGTTTTAAACTTACAAATAATTTATAGTCCTTGGGGACAGGACAATCATTTTCGCATTTATCTGCATGTATACTATGATTATACTACTATAATATATAGAGACTCTCTATAGATTATAGCAGTGATCGCTGTGGAGAAGAAACTTGAAATTGATAGTTAATAGTACATACACTTTATTTATAATATACGTATGTACATAGTATACAGAAACGCGAAAATAATGGAACTCAACAGAAAACTTAAAAAATAACAGACTTTGGAAAAAAGAGAGAGGGTTTAAAAATATTGTCCTGTCTCCAAGTATCTATGATTTTTGATACCTTTTCTGAAATTGTCCAGACATAACAGTGGCGGAGCCAGAAATTTTCATAAGGGGAAGGGGGGGGGGGCACTGACTGCTTAAGAGGGGTCCCGCTCCAGTCATGCATCATTGATTCCCTTTATAATCAACAAATTTTTCCCACAAAGGGGGGGGGGGGGGGGGTGCGGGGTCTGAGCCCCCTGAAAAACCCTCTAAATCCGCCTCTACATGTAATCTTTCACAAAAATTCATCCTACAATAGTTTACATACTTTCAACCAAGCTCTAATTGACCGCGATTTCGCGGGTGTGTTTTAGTCATTATTTATTTTTGGAGAACCTGTAGCTTTGAAATCACACCTACTGATATGTACCCCTACTTTTATCATGATTTTTTTAAAAGTTATATCATATAAAATACATTTTTCACAAAAGATTTGCATCAACCTAAAAAAAATTTTTTACGTTTCAAACATTTGTCTAAGTTGCTTTAAAAACCAGTCTAATTCCACGAGAAAAGACAATCTTGGTCAATTCTTTCAGACAGTTTTTGTAATTCAAATGAGATCAGGGAGTAAAATAATTGATCTGGGATTTTAAGGAAAGGAAAATAATTTGTAGAAATTGCATTTACAAGACCTCTGCTTCCATGAGAACATGCACTATAACAATAAAACATTCAGATGACTACATTACTTCTGGGTCATAAAACATTATTACATCATAGCACTATATTGTACTTAGATAAACGTTTCTGAGATATGTTTTAAATAATGTCCTATAGTCCTTGAAAATGGAGGCATTTAGATTAAATGTCATTCCAATCTAGAAGTGTCATGTTCAATAAAAATTAATGGCAATCCAAAGAAATTATTTCGCAAGATTACGTGAACAATAATTTGTGCCAAGAACATCTCCTTTTGAGATATACATGAAATGTTAGAGGTGGTTGATAGGACAATAACATAATCGATTATCAGAAAAATGACATTTTAAGTGTTTTTGATGAATTATTACTTCTAATATTTTTAATCTACTGGTGACTGGGAACATCTATCTTCCATATATATATGGATTTATTTTTAATTTGTGGGTATCAATTTTCATGGATATATAAAGGAAAGTTGTATATTGTGGAAATTTGATTTCATGGATTTTGCCAAAGTCTGCATACAATTAGGTCTATAGAAAATTTGTACTTCTTTGAACTTTTGAATTCATGGTTCACCTAGTTATACCCAAGAAATTTAACGAAAATTAGTATCTAACGAATAATAATTCAATTCAATTCAATTCAATATTTAATTGCCATATAAACTCTACAGTTTGTGACATATAACAAAACAAATGAAGACAATAACTAAGTAACTCAATATATATATACAGGTTCAAGTAAATATTAAAGGGTCCCCTGTCCTCAGTTCTATTGACTTTTTAATAAAGGATCCTAGTTTATTCACTTGTGTTGGTGTTGATGGGTTAAGTATATATATAACTTTGTCATTGTCAGTGAGATTAGCAAATGAATTATCTTCTATGATAATGCAATTAAAATATGCTAATCTAATATTAGAATTGTGAGAACAGTTTATTAAGAAATGTTTCTCATCATCTAGTACTTTGCATTTTTTGCAAAGTCTCTCTTCAAGAGGAATTTTAAAATGCCTTCCTTTTTCAATTAATAATGAATGATCACTGATTCTAATAATAAATAATGAATCCACAGTATGCCTTCCTGACAAAGTTGTGTGATTTCAGAAATTATTATGGCATTATGATGCTACTAATGTATTTTCAACAACAACAATCATTTTGCAGATCAATTTTTGTGAAAGAGTTTTGTGCTTTTCTTGTACTTAATTTCTTGAAAAAGTTTTGTGTACCTATTATCATGATTATACATTGTTTTAAGTCACTGGTCAAGATTAAAAGGGCGCTGTTTGAGATCACAAAATAAAAACAAAGAACCAGAAGAAGAAAAATTCTACTAAATCATATTGTCTTTCTTTGTCAAAGGGGAGACATAAGAATAGTTGACAGAAGGATAGGAACAGATAGATGGACAAGTTGCTTGTTGTATAACTAACTGTTCATTATGTGAATGAGTGTTAAAATAACTATCTACCATGGATTCATTATTATTTCTAGGGTATCAATTTTCTTGGATTTTGTTGGTAAGAGTGTACCACTGTCACAAATTTAAAAGTTCATCTAAGTACAAATTTTATATAAATTTAATGTATGTAGATTTTGGCAAAACATTTTATTCAAATATCCGTAAAACCACATTTTTTCTTAATCCACAAAAATTTGTATCCATGAAAGGAAAGCATCCACAATTACTCAGATTTTACCATGTTAGATTTTTTCAAGTCAAAAATTTTCATTTTTGGACCTAAATGGATTTTTCTGGCATATAACTCACTGAAATAAAAGGAGCCAATTTTCTAAAATGAATTCTTTTGAAATCAATCAGAACTTCAAAAAATAAACTTACTCATTTAATCTAGAGTTCCAATTGACCAGATATTTGTTTGGAACGCCAAAAATAATCATTCCATCTCTACTTTTTTTTTTTTCTGACAAACCTGTTTGATTCCTAGATGTTTTACTGGTGGTTCCTGTTTGATCAGAGTCTCATGAATGTTTCGTCTGATCATATAACCCAGTATCATTCCAGCAGATAAAAACACAAGCAGGAACAAGATCTTTAGTAGGCATCCTTTACGCCCACTAAAGAAAGGCACAGAGGCTATTGACTGTGTGTCCAAGTTTTTATATTCGATGTCAACATTATCGGTGTCTGCTTCCCATCTTGAGACCTGTTTGCCTGCTATATACTTCCCCTTCGTTGGCATTCTGTAAAACAAGAACAGGATAAATTGAAGTTTGAAAAAATAAACAAAATTTGCCCCAAATTCTGTTTTAAAAATGTAATTACTTCCCTTTGTTGGTCTTCTGTAAGACATGAACAGGATAAATGAGTTGCAAAAATTAGAAAAATCAGCCTTAAATTCTGTTGAAAAAATAACTTCCCCTTTGTTGGCATTCTGTTAAACAAGAACAGGATATATTGAGTTGGTATAAAATCAGCAAAATATATATTTAAAGTCTGTTGATAGACTTCCCCTTTGTAAAAAAAGAACAGGATAAATCAGTTGGAAAAGTTCGAAAAAAATCAGCCAAAATATCTGTTGATAGACTGACCCCTTTGTTGGCATTCTGTAAAAAAAAAAAAGGATAAAATGAGTTGGTAAAAAATCAGCAAAACCTGTCTTAAATTCTGCTGAAAGAATGACTTCCCTTTTCATTGGCATTCTGTAAAACAATTACAACAAAAATAAATTAGATTTATTATGCAGCAAAATTATTCCCATGTACTTAAACAAGATTATGCTCTATATCAAACAGTAATACCCTGATTGCTATATAAAGCTGTGTGTATAATGTCAGTGATTCTTTTCAAGACATCTTCATAAGCTCTGCTATAATTAAAATTTAAAAAAAAAATTAATTTGAAAAATTGTAAAATTGTTGCAAGGCTTCAAGATCTCATCTGATACACAAGAGTGATCTCCCTTTTTATCAAACAGTTTAACAAGATACTTTTTGCAGTTTTCTTATACAAAGAATTCCTCTGTTAAAATCTGTCTACAATCATGGTAAAATAAATGGGGAATGTGTCCATGGGATACAGATGCATGATGCCACCGCTTGCATATAAATTTATAACGTGACAAAACTCAAGAACTGTAAAAGTGACGATACCCAAAGTTGAACTTCATCTGAGTTTTGTGGTAATAAAAATTGTGTATAAGTTTCCTATCATTTAGTTGAGGCAAACTTAAGTTCGAGAACGGAAACGAAAAATTCAGCAATTTTTCCATTTGTAAAGGGGTATTACTCTAAAACAGTAAAAGTGATGCCACCAAAATTTAAACTTGATCTGTGTTTTGTGGTAATAAGCATACTGTATAAGTTTCATATCATTTAGTTGAGGCAAACTTAAGTTAGAGAACGGAAACGAAAAATTCAGCAATTTTTCCATTTGTAAAGGGGTATTACTCTAAAACGGTAAAAGTGATGCCACCAAAAATCAAACTTGATCTGTGTTTTATGGTAATAAGCAGATAGTGTACGAGTTTCATAACATTTGGATGAGGCAAACTAAAGTTAGGGAAAGGAAACGAAAAATTCAGCAATTTTTCCATTTGTAAAGGGCATAACTCTAGAACAGTAAAAGTGACGCCACCAAAATTCGAACTTGATCTGAGTTTTGTGGTAATAAGCATAGTGTATGAGTTTCATAACATTTGGTGAGGCAAACTAAAGTTAGAGAACGGAAACCAATTTTGAGACGTACATACGAACCAATGGACGTACAGACGGACAAGGGTAAAACTTAATGCCCCCTCCGCTACGGCAGGGGCATAAAAATTTATGCTATAAACCATCAAAGATAACTTTTTTCTCCAGAAATGGGGATTCTTTCTGATTACAAGATAACTAGCGGCCTGATTTATGACAAAACAATAGAAGAAAACGAAATATGGCAGACAGCAACCAAACACAATCACTAATTTACAGGCTTGATCCACATATACTCCACATATCTTGAAAACTGTGTTATTGTGGATTCATTATTCGATGGATCAAATTTTTCGTTGATTTCCTTGGTACAGACAAACCATGCATTTATACAAATGACACATTTTCTATAAGTCTGTATGCAGAATTTGGCGAAACCACGAAATTAAATATCCACTAAAATGCAAGTTTTCTTCAATCCAGGCAAATTGGCACCCACGATAACAAATGAATCTACAGCATTCAAATGCTACTGAAAATGAAGTCAATAAAATTCTATTACAGAACTATAAAGAGGTTATCAATAAATCTTTAAATAAATCAAACTTTACATGAAACTGACAGAAATTTCAACAATGTCTATAGCTAATTTCCAATCATTTTACATAATATCTAATACATTTAAAACAATTAACCATTAAGATTTCACAACTTCCCTCATTGATTTATCTACTAATCTCATGCACACGAACTGAAGTTTAAAGGCAATTTTGTGATAAACTTAGGATTTGACAACTTCAGCAATTTCTCAATCCATCTTCTCACATGCAAGTCTTAGTTAAAAATCTTCTTTCAATTCTTCGTGCATAAAAGAAACATCAATAAAATTTCACTTAACTTCTCAAGCTTTCAAGGAAACTTCCTGTTTCACGATACAAACAGAATTACAAAATTGCTTCTTTTCCGGTGAATCTACAGAAACATTTATATGACGTAAGTACAAATTTTGCTAAAGATAATTGACATTTCCAGCCATGCTTTCATCTAAACACTACCTTTCGAATGCAATAATAACTATAGTTTAACACAGCAATAATCCAGTCGGGAATACCATAGACATGAAATATAATGTTAGATATTTGGTCAAGAACATAAATGTTGTGATTACACATTTCTTCAAGTAGATTTGGCTATTGATTCATCATCTCAGAATTGGTACTTAATAAGACTTAAGTTGTGGTCAGTTCCATTAATTCTGAGACGGCAACATTATGTGCCAATTTCAAAATCCAGAACTTTACCATATTTTTTCTAGCCATTTGATGTAATGACACATGTAAAACAATCATTTTTTATCTATCACATCAATTTTATGATAAAAAATAATGTTTTATTTCCTTCAATTAAATGCACACAAATTCAAAGTTGGTGTTTACAATATGTTATGTTGGATGTTGCTATAGCAACTAGCCCTATAGGAACATACACATGATCAACAGAGATGAGGGTACAGATGTCAGTTATTGTTAAACCAACCAACCAACCAACCAACCACACCCCCCCCCCCCCTCCCCCCCAAAAAAAAACAAAAACAAAAAAACTAGATATCACCATATAATCTTGAAACAGTCATAATATATTTAAGTGATTGAGAAAACAACCCAACAACTACCTCCAAAAAATTAAAAACCATCAAAAGTTGTATATAATTTGCATGCTATATGTCTTGAGTACAAAGATGCATATCATATACACAACTATATATGGTATCCATGTAATTTTTTTCTCAATTTATTAAAATAAATGAATCCACAGTATCCCTGAAACAGTTATTACATAAGTACAAACTTTACTAAAGCTAATTGATATCTTCAACCATGCTTTCATCTAATCACTACCTTTCCATGCAATAATAACTAGAGTCTATCTCCAGCCATGCTTTCATCTAAATACTACCTTTCCATGCAATAATAACTAGAGTCCATCTTCAGCCATGGTTTCATCTAAACAATACCTTTGAATGCTACAATAACTTAAGTCTATCTCCAGCCATGCTTCCATCTAAACACTACCTTTGAATGCTATAACAACTTAAGTCTATCTCCGGCCATGCTTTCATCTAAACACTACCTTTGAATGCTATAATAACTAGTGTATATCTCCAGCCATGCTTTCATCTAAACACTACCTTTGAATGCTTTAATAACTAGAGTATATCTCCAGCCATGCTTTCATCTAAACACGATCTTTGAATGCTATAATAACTAGAGTATATCTCCAGCCATGCTTTCATCTAAACACTACCTTTCCATGCAATAATAACTAGAGTCTTATCTCCAGCCATGCTTTCATCTAAACACTACCTTTCCATGCAATAATAACTAGAGTCCATCTTCAACCATGCTTTCATCTAAACACTACCTTTGAATGCAATAATAACTAGAGTCATTCTCCAGCCATGATTTCATCTAAACAATACCTTTGAATGCAATAATAACTAGAGTCCATCTTCAACCATGCTTTCATCTAAACACTACCTTTCAATGCTATAATAACTTTAGTCTATCTCCAGCCATGCTTTCATCTAAACACTACCTTTGAATGCTATAATAACTAGAGTATATCTCCAGCCATGCTTTCATCTAAACACTACCTTTGAATGCAACTATTTCTCAAGTCTATCTCCAGCCATGCTTTCGTCTAATCACTACTTTTCATTCCAATAATAACTAGAGTCTATCTCTAGCCATGCTTTCATTTAAATACTACTGTTGAATGCAATAATAACTTTAGTTTAACACAGCAATAATCCAGTCGGGAATACCATAGACATGAAATATAATGTTAGATATTTGGTCAAGAACATAAACGTTGTGATTACACATTTCTTCAAGTTGATGATTATTGATTTATTATATCTGAATGGGTACTTAAGTCCTGGTCAGTTTGATTGATTCTGGGACAGCAACTTCATATACCACAATTTAGAATTCCATAATTTTACTTAGATTTTGAGCCAATTGATTTTATGTCTTATGTAAAAACATCATTTTTTATCTGTAATTTTAACTTTTTTTTTATCTCTTTCAATTGTTAAACACGTTAGTACAATGAAACAAGTTTCTAAACAGAGTTCCTTTTGACTGATAAATGTTTGGATATCTGGTGTTCTCTGAATTACAAGGTTTAAGGCTACAGAAGAATGTTCAATGTTAATTAAGGATGTTTGCTCCTCTTGTTTTTGAATTTTGCCAGATATTCGGAATCCTCTAGATCTGGTGTTATCCAAGAAGTGACATTACAAATTTTGCCTGCTAACCCCTGCTTTTCTTTTCATAATTTTATATATAAACATATAAACATATGTTTAAATAGGCATATATATTTGAAAATCCTATAAAATCCTTGGTAATCTTTCATAGTTTTTGACAGAAAAAAGGTGCCAATGCTAAATGTATGAAAAATCTAGAGAGAATCATTTACCGCCAAATATTCAATTGCTTATATTTCGAAAACAAGCAAAAGGACCCTTCTTTTTTAGTTCCTTTATT